CTCCATCCTGGGAGAACGCCATCCACATCACGCTCCCAGGCTGCAGACGACAGTCACAGTATTCTGGTCCCGCTCCATCCGGGGAGAACGCCATCCACATCCAGCTCCCGGGCCGCAGACGACAGTCACGGTATTCTGGTCCCGCTCCATCCTGGGAGAACGCCATCCACATCACGCTCCCAGGCTGCAGACGACAGTCACAGTATTCTGGTCCCACTCCATCCTGGGAGAACGCCACCCACATCACGCTCCCAGGCTGCAGACGACAGTCACGGTATTCTGGTCCCGCTCCATCCTGGGAGAACGCCACCCACATCCAGCTCCCGGGCCGTGCTCACAACCCCAGTTACATCCCACTCAATGAACCATTAGGACACTGGTGATCACTCCAGGTAGTGTATGTCTTCTTTCAGTCATTGTGTATCTGCAGTCTGCTGGAGCCCTGCATTGCACCTGTGATTTACTGACCGCAGAGGCAGATTTTATGGCTCCCACTAAATAAATAAAAACATCATAAAAACATACTTTTACCATGAAAAAAACGTGCATTATTTTTTTTTACATGCCCCTAAACGTCCTAATGTGCATGGACACGTGATATCACTGAGCTGCTTCTACTGGCAAAGTCCTATAGAAGCAATGTCTTTTTAAACCACTGTCCTTACAATGCCCACCCCTCCACTAAATATCCTAGCAACCGTCTCTGCTCTTACCACAACGCGTGCGCAGTATACACATGTGAATGGAAGGCACCACAGGTGTTCCTCCGCAGCCAAACTACCGCACTCTAGTCTGGCTGACTAATGTTCCCTCATATGCCCGGTCCTCCCTCTGCGCGCCGCCAGTGACGGCCCCGCCCCCTCACTCCTATTTGTTAGCCATCTTCAACACGTCCTAGTCCACACACCCTTCCTTTGGAACTCTCGCTGTAACTCCGCCCATAACTGCGCACTTCTTCGCCCTTCGCCCACTTTGTTAGCGGCAGCCAATCAGAGGTGTGAGTAACGTCACATCCGGGTGGATGTTGCAGCTTAGAGTGGAGTGAAGCAGATCTGTCGTGTGGGGCTGCAGGTAATGTGTCCGAGTGCCCTGTGTGTGGTAGCGGGGGGGACGGGGCATGGCTGGAGCGCTGCACACCCTGTCTGGGTGACTTGCTGGTAGAAGGTCCTACTGACAGATTGCAGTGCTGTCGGCCACGTGTGCTGGTCACACAGCCTTCAGCTTGTCATAGGGGAGTGCTGGCCAGGTGACTGCAGTGGGGATGGTGGGAGAGATTGCAGCCTGTCTACTGACGGACGAGAGGCCTGTGTACTGGCGGGGTGGCCGCACTCCTCTATGGGGCACCTTACAGTGGAACGCTACAAACATGCACTGTTCTTCCCACTGACACCAGTGATGGGGCACTGTTCCTCCCACTGACACCATAGAAGGAGCATTATTCCCCCCACTGACACCAGTGATGGGGCACTGTTCTTCCCACTGATACTATAGGAGCGCTATTCCCCCCACTGACACCAGTGATGGGGCACTGTTCTTCCCACTGATACTATAGGAGCGCTATTCCCTCCACTGACCCCAGTGATGGGGCACTGTTCCTCCCGCTGACACCATAGGAGTGTTATTCCCTCCACTGACACCAGTGATGGGGCACTGTTCTTCCCGCTGACACCATAGGAGCGTTATTCCCTCCACTGACACCAGTGATGGGGCACTGTTCTTCCCGCTGACACCATAGGAGCGTTATTCCCTCCACTGACACCAGTGATGGGGCACTGTTCTTCCCGCTGACACCATAGGAGCGTTATTCCCTCCACTGACACCATCGATGGGGCACTGTTCCTCACGCTGACACCATAGGAGCATTATTCCTTCCACTGACACCATCGATGGGGCACTGTTCCTCGCGCTGCCACCACCATTTGGGCACTGCGCCTCGTACTGCCACAAGACACCAAAGATGGGGCACTATCCTTGCTTCTGACACCAACAATTGGATGCTATTCCACTGACGCCAGAGTTGAGCAACTGATTCTCCCATTGAAACCAATTATGTGGCCGTATTCCTCACACTGAGACCAATTATGTAGTGTTTTTTTTTTTTTTTTCTCCCACGGATCACCAAGCCTATGGCATTGCTTACTCCCACCCAGGGGCGGACTGACCATTTGGAAACTTGGGCACTGCCCGAGGGCCCGGGGTCAGTAGGGGGCCCCATGAGATGCTCCTGGTACCTTTTTCATAGGCTTTTTTGAGTTTGGGCAAGGACACAGGGGCCCCATGATCCCCTATTGCCCGGGGCCCCATGAGTTGTCAGTCTGCCCCTGCTCCCACCAATGCCAAGACATTTTCTACTCCCACTGCCTACAGTCTAGCCCCCTTACAGTTTGAAGGACAGTAAACTGGTCCTCTGTTTCGGTAGTTTGGTGAACAGCGTGCACGGTCCTCTGTTTGCTTGTTGGGGTATGCACGTCACAAAGGTCGGAGGGGGTGGGGCTGAACCAGGAAGAGCTGGCGGGCCTCTTGATGATCTGTATGGCAGTGCAGGACTGAGAGGTGGTGGAGAACCAGAGGATCTCATGGACAACGCCGGATCCTCTGGGCGGGTGAGTATTGGTAATGGAAGCAACAGACCACTCTGTAAGTGGGGCAGGGTGTCAGCAAGCAAAGATCCTCTGCAAGTATGTTAGATCTCAGTCTACATTGGATTTCAGGGTACCATGGCATGGGGAGACCTCCCTGGCAGTGGGACAATACATTTTCCAGCTAGAACCTGTCTGTCATTTTTGGAGGGGGGGTTAGGGGTAGAAGCTTTTCCAGGTTTTTATCTGCTTGTGTCTCTATTAAGGAGATTTCCAATTGCTTCCTGTCAGGATAGCCTCACCTTCTCCACTTCAATATAGAGAAAGCTGATGTTATGGTAGTAAGTTTTGCTTTGCAGTAAATCTTGTGATAAGGATTACCTGTATATACAGTAAAAATCTCCTAGATATACACTGCTGGGTGATCTTCGCAGCTGGTAATGTCACATGCGCATGCGCAGTGTGCTCTGCATTCTGGGATCACCCACTGTGCCGTCAATGCAGAGATCACCACACCACGATCGTGACATCATTGCAGCCCAGCCATTCAAACAGTCAGAGAGCACAAAGATGGCAGTGCCTGCAGCAGTGACAGCACACCGCTGGAGGGCTCCATTTAAAAAGTAAGTGCCGTAATGTGTCAGTATGCGGTGCATATTAGCACAGTATGTCATTAACCTGACGGGGATATCTTAGGTTTTTTTTTGTTTTTTTGCAGAGTTCACTACTGCTTTAAAGTGGACCTGAATTTAAAAAGTGAAGATTTTCCATGCACCAGGGAAGATATCTAGTAATGTGAATTGTGCCTTATCGGCACCCTGGAAAATGTACCTTTTGTGCTGAATTTCTCCTGAAAAATATGAGTGCCTAGGCACTCCTGTATATCTGCAGTGTGAGATCATCCAAGGCACTTCTGCCTCTGACTGCTGATATCCTGAGATTTGGTGATGTTTACTACTGTGCCCAATGCTGGAAGCTCTGACATGAGGAACCACAGCCCTGTCTTTACCAGAATAGCCACCTTCACACAGTGCTGAGCATGGCATGGAAAGTCCATAACCGGGGAGGAAGGATCAGTAGCAGGGAGATCACCAGCACTACTGGTGACTTGTCCTTTGCCCTCTGCCTGACTTTTTTTTTTTTTTTTAAGCTCCGCTTCTAGACATCAGTACCACTTTAATGTTAATACCGTAGCCTCCCTGGCGGTATTCCTGAGTGTAGCTCGGGGTAAAGTTTCAGTACCACAGGCGGTAACCCCGAGCGTTGCTCCGGGATATGTTCTCCTCTTACCTTGTCCTGCGCTCCCGTGATGTCCCTCCTGCAGTGTCCCCTGTAATGTCCTCCGGCAGATGCTAGCATCTCTCATCTGGGTTCAGTCCCCTGCGAGCGTCGGGACGTTCGGGGGCTGGAACCGGCGGGAAATTTGAAAATGACAAAAAGTGACATTCACTAAAATCACATAGTATAACATTCCTGTATCAAACCATTTCACATACATTTTGTCCCGAGTGCTTTGTCCTGTGCCCTGCCTGCATTTTTACTGTTCTTTCTGCCTGGAAACTGAGAAACGTCCATGGCGTCCAAAAAGTGTCCCTTTAGGTCAAAATCGGTTTTAGAACAGCTAGAGAACAGCGATAGTAAATTAGAACCACTTGCAGAATTGAGTGATAATGACTCGTGTGGAAATTCGTCATCAGACACTGAACGATTTTGTGACTTTGCTCAGTGATGTGCGAACTTGGCGCTATATTTCAAATTTCAGTGTTTTTGGTTTGATTATATTATTGAATTAAATTTATTATTATTATATTATTATTTTATTTTTTATGAATATTTATTAAATTATAATTTATGATTTCGTGTTTCAAATTTTAATATACCCGGGATGTTTACTAGACTCTTGTTCGGACAGATTTCAGTGAGTTATTCCTAAAAATTATAGGCCTACAATAAAAAAAATACATATTTCCATTCAAAAAAATGTACCGCTTTGAGCACAGAAATACTGACATCATACCGCTAGGGAGGTTAAGCCAAATTCTTTTCTGTGTAGAGTGGAGATTAGTTTGCAGCCTCTGTTGGATTGCAGATGTTGCCTTTATCCCCACTGAGATTTCCTCTCATTTCATGCTTGATCTGACACTATTGCCTACATGTTTAAAGAGGGAAATCTGGGTCACAAACAGCAGTAAAAACTTGATAGAGGTTCTAATACTTCACCACTCTGCTACAAAAATGGTATTACTGTTTGTGTCCCCGTTGGGGAGGCTTACCCTCACTTTCTGTTTTTGCAGACATTTTACCAGACAGAAAATGAGGGGAGCTCTCCAGAAGAAACACAAAAAACGTACACTTTAGATATATTGGAGAGTGAATCTGATTGCATTATGTTTTCTCTTCTAGTTCATATCACTTTTTACCATGGGAGAGCCTCAGCAAGTGAGTGCTATGCCCTCACCACCATTGCAGTACATCAAAGAGTTCACTGATGAAAATGTCCGCAAGGGGTTGGTCCCCAAACCACCAATGCCCATCAAGGACAGCTACATGATGTTTGGTAACCAGTTCCAATGTGATGACATTATCATCCGTCCCCTGGAGAGCCAGGGCATTGAGCGACTGCACCCTCAACAGTTCGACCACAAAAAGGAACTGAGGAGACTCAACATGTCCATACTGGTCAACTTCCTGGACCTACTGGACATCTTGATACGAAGTCCTGGAAGTATAAAGCGAGAGGAGAAGCTGGAGGATATGAAACTTCTGTTTGTTCACATGCACCACCTCATCAATGAATACCGACCCCACCAAGCCCGGGAGACCCTGAGGGTGATGATGGAGGTGCAGAAAAGACAACGCCTGGAAACTGCCGAGAGGTTCCAGAAACATCTTGAAAGGGTGGTAGAGATGATCCAGAACTGTTTGGCTTCATTGCCCGATGATCTACCCCTGCCTGATGGCGATGTCACGGTTAAGACTGAACATGTAGAGGATCCATGTTCTGACCAGAAGGACACCCCCACAGAGACTGGCAGTTCATCCAAAGAGGCACCAGCAGACAAAGATGCAGCCATGTGTGTTATCATTGATGAGATGACATAGGGGATATTTATAATATTTATGTTTCAGGGCTGCCTGAGGGACCTTGACTAGAGTTCTTGGGTCCCGACAAATTTGTCATCTCAGATACTCAGGTGTCCACCATACTTCTCTTGAGGATTCCTTAGAGAGGCTACGATGTATGTATTTAGGCAATATGGAAACAATGTTTCAGGAAAGCATTGTTCTGCTCTCAGGAATGTATTTCTACTTTTTATTATCGATATGTTTATTTGCATTCATGTTTGCCAATAAGTATTTCCTGTTTTCTGTTTTGGCACCCAGTAGGAGGTGTCTGGGTCTATATGTTTGTTAATGTTATTTGGTTCTTATTTGCATCATTAAAATACTTTGCTTTTTGAAATGTGAAGGCTGCATTGCAGTCTGTCGTTTCCATTTCACAGCTACACGTTCAGCTATAAGGGAATATAATGTAAACAGAGAGAAGTAAGCTGCCATTGCCCATCACGTTCTGAACATGCCATTTGACTTCAGCACTTTCTTAGTCGCTGACTCAGAATGCATTTGAGACATGGATGTTCTGATTTGATACTTGTTCAGGATCTGTAAAGCCTTTGAATTGGTATGACCGCAAGGCACCATTTTCATAATGAGATCAGGAATGACAGCCCACAAATTCTTCTCATGACTTCTTTTGAAGAGTCAGTCCATTCACATTGATTTTTTATTTTTGGTAGATGCTGATGTTTGGAACCACCTGCCGATGGAGTGTTGGTGACTTTTAACATGCACATGTGACTTTGGCTTGTAACAACCGTGGGTCATTGTGATCACCCAACATGCACTGCAGGATGCCAGAGATAAAGACAACATTTCATGGATTTTTAATTTACCAATGGGCAATTCAAAGGCATTACATTGAATGCATAAAGAGTATCAAAAGCATACACAAGAGCAGCGTGCAACCATCCAGATTTTCAGAGCTGGATTACCGGTTCTGAGGCAGGGGAACATCACAGGTCATCTATCCAACAGAAAGGAGCCATCCACTTGGTACAATCCACAAATGTAAATACTTTATTGGCTACATAGTAAAATCCAATGGCAGGCATGGCTTGTGTTTTGGCTAGAGAGCCTTATGCCAGCCATAGACGGGTCAAAAATCGGCCGATTTTCGCACTGTTAGTGGGTTGGCCGTTTTTTGGGGTTTTTTTGTACAGTTTTTGTCTGTCATGTTGGAAAATTCGCAGCTGATTTGGACGATCGGCAGATTTTCCCGGCAATGATCGGCAAATCGGCCGATCGTTTTACTGATAAAAAATCTGCGCATGAGCCGTGAAAGAAGAAGTAGAAAAAGAATTGATCATAGGAATGGGAGACACCTGAATCCTTCCTATGAACTGGAAGTCCAGTCCGCTATTATTTTATATGAAAAAGTCTTGCGGTTGCAACAAATGTATCCAAATAAAAACAATGTATTTGTATTGCTGTCACATTGTATGGTGAGCTCCCTTCTCTCTGTCAAACTGGTTTCTTTTCCGGTTTTTTTTCGTGAGCATTGGTGTCAGCATTGGCAATGGCACCGACCGATTTTTCGTTTTATCGGCTGACAATTCGGCTGATAAATGGCCCGTCTATGGCCTGCATTAGTCATAACTATGTCTACGGTTCTGTAGCCAAAACTCATAATCCTATCCTTCCATTGGATTTTACCATGTAGTTAATAAAGTATTTACACTTTTGGCTGGCACTAAGTGGTAGGCTCCTTTCTGTAAGATAAAGGTGAAGTTATACCTTCAGTGACATTAGCTTTTTCCTGTGTAGAAAAAAATTGACCCTGCTTCCCCCAGGTGATCCTTTCATGTGACGTGTAACCAATAGTGATAGCAGTGGTAGGCCCAAACACAATTTAGTTTTTTTCCCCCTGGCAGAACAGAGATGTACAAACCTCTGTATAAGTCAGTTAACAGACCTCAGGTGGAGACTGGCATTGTATATAAAAATTGATCCGCTGACAGATCATTCTACACATATGCAAGTTTACAAATTTCTGAAATTTGGAGAAAGAAGTAACACACTTCAGACTTCAGAGTGTTACTTCTATCTCCAACTTTCAGATTTTCTTTTTTGTAAACTTGCATATGTGTAGAATGATCTGTCAGCAGATCAATTTTTTTATATACAATGCCAGTCTCCTCCTGAGGTCTGTTATCTGGTTTATACAACTAAATCAATTAGTGTGATACAAATTTTACTGCAGTGTGCTGTAACCAGGGAATCTGTCAGCATGAGGGTAATCTCTTGCTATTAAACTGTTAAAATAGCATCTATATGAGGACCTAAAGGCTGAAAAGGGGATATTTTTAATGCATATGCAGACCATTTCAAAGAAAAAAAAAAGGTTTTTTTTTATAGACCAGTTTTCTTTACTGGAAAGAAGATGGTTTGTACCAGGCTGGGAGAACCATGAACCCCATTCACACGGGTGGATGCCTATTCAGTGGAATCTATTAGCAGAGCAACAGCTGCATGCGCACAGACTGGAGAGTGAAAAATCTGGTGCAACTCTGCATAAAAGCCAGTCACCTTCCAGTTTTTATTGCTAAAACTTAGTTAAACAAGCTGGTTACTATGCACAGCTGCAGAAAATTCTGCATGCACCAGTTTTAGTAAATCTCCCCTTATGTGTGCAAACAACAACAACACACTGATGCTGTTGGTGTGTAAAAGTTCCTCTTGACTGTTTCATGCAAATTGAAGCTCTGACTGTCCCTGGATGCAGACAATTTGCATCCAGTGATGGCATTTCTAGTATCAGTTAATCAAATAGTTTGTATGTTGCCATAGCACAGAGTGTTGCTGTATCTAGAGGTGGTGTTTAGCCTTTCTCTGAACAGCTGGTCTACTTCAGTGTATACTTGGAGTATATTTAAACCCTCACCTTGTAAAACAACCTATTCAGTTTATAAAAATACACAAATGTTTTGCCTTTCATTTCTATTTTAAAACACAGAGCTGGGGGGGCAGAAACAGCAGTCCACTGAACTTCCCACTAAATGGCTGTGTGGGGAGGGCGCATCAGCACAAGTTTAATCATTGGAGGAGAGTAGGCTCAGTACCCAGCGCAGCTAGAGAACTGACCACTTAGTGTGGTCAGTTTTTAATAGGAAAGCAGAAGGAGTAGTGAGAACACCAGGTATTTATCAGGAATGAAGCGATGCAAAGAGAACAGTTTACATTTTCATATAAGTACATGGTACAGGCAGGCACGGATCAGGAATACAAAATGTTGGTTTTACATACGCTTTAACCACTTCAGCTCTCACACCTGAACACCTCTATGGAGCAGAGCAATTTTTACATTGCTGCTATGGATCTGTTTGTTTAGCAATAACGTTTGTCTTCACGTAAGATAAAAGTTGTTATATAATCTTTTTGGGGCAAAATGGCTTTCCTATTGTGATATTGTGTATGATTTTTTTTATATGCAGTCCGTAGATAAATAACAAACACACTTTTGTTTTCCCTTTTTATGTGATTAATTTTGGTTAAAAAAAAAAAAAAGTTGCTGGAGATGCACATGGAAATGAACAAAATTCCAATTTTAATAATAGCTAATGGGAAGAAGGGGTGAATTAGGATTGATCAAAATAAACTAAAGGTTGACACCTTCATGTTGGCACCCAGGGGCCCTTTAAAAGTGCCAGGGAAGGGGGGGTGTCATTAATTCTGTGATTAGCTCTGGTAGCAGTCATATGGTTGTGAGTCCTTTACACTGGCTCCTGCTTGGAAGCCTTGATGGCTCAGTTAGTGTGTTAGGAGCACACAACTTAAGGGCACCATGGACGCACATGTGTTGGCTATGCAAACCGCCTTTCCTGTTGAAGCATACATACGTTACATAGTCGGCAAAAGGTTAACATGGGGTTAAATTGGAACGTTTCATTAAAAAGACATTATGTGCAGATTAAAACGTATATCTTTAATCTGCAGAGTAAATGCTTCTCTGAACAATTTTTAACACCTTCCCACCTGGCCTATAGCAGATTGAGGGCCAGGCGGGACACTCCTGGTAGTGACTGGGCGTCCTATGATGTCCTGTCAAAATGACCCGCTCATATGGCTGCAGGGCGCTCTGTCACCGGCTGTGTTTACGGGACACAGATGATGACATACTGTATCACTACACCAGCCCGTTGCCAGTGTCCTGTGACTGCCGTGACCAATCACAGCAGATCACATGTCAATTGTATACAATGGATGGCTTCCTGTCATGCCATTCATTGTATACAACTATGTTGTTAGCTGTGACTGGTCAAAGCAGTCACATGATACATGCAGGGCCAATTACAGTCCATCTATCATGTGATGAGCCTTGCCCAATCACAGCTAATCACAACAAAAAACTGAATGAATCAGTTTCATTCAGTATAATCGATTTCAAGTATTAATTAAATACATTGGTATTGGCAATCATAATGTGTAAAAAAAAAAAAAAAAAAAAAAAATCACTTGGCCAGAGTAGTTCAATGTTACCATGATAACATTGTATTGCTTTGTGTTGGAAAAAAAAATAGTAACAAAAGAAAAAATAATGATATAAAAAATAGAACATTTTGAAATGATCAATATGGGATTGTGCTGTGTTGTTGGAGTGGATGAGCTTTTTAGGTGTTGCACCATGTTAGAATTGTTTACAAATTTAGATTGTTTTTACATTTTTTTACATACTGTCACTAGTCAGTGTCTCTGATCACCACAACACCCGTTATATAATAACACTGTACTGGACTGGTGACAATATGTAAAAAAAAAAATTGGATTTTTTTTTCTTTTTTAATTCCTACATTTTCCATAAAATGTAACAAAAAAATTACAATCTCCAAAAAACTCACCATGCCTCTTACTAAATACCTTGAACCTGTCTATTTTACAAAAATGGGTGATTTGAAGGGTTATTTGTACTATCCTGGCGTTTTCAGGGCCTCAAGAAATGAGATGGGCCATCAGTACATAATTTTTATTGAAATTTCACACACCTA